ACAAGAACCTCCAGTGAGGCATCTATGGATGCTGCCTACCTCGATAAAATTTCCGAGTTGGACTCAATGATGTCCGAATCAGACAACAGCAAGAGTCCATGCTACAATTTCAAGTCCTCCGATCTTGATAATTCTTCAAAGTCAACAGAGTGCTCTAAGCTTCTGAATGAAACGGAGAAGAAACTGGAAGAGATGAACGAGGAACAGAGTATGAAGTGTCCAGAGACAAGCGATCCAGCAGTTGACAGAGCTGGCTGGAAACCTGCTATGTTTTCCATCCTCTCCCCATCTGAGCTAGATATGAATGACCACTTTCCGCTGTTTACAGGCCAAAACGTAGTGGCTAGTGATACTAAACCTCCAAACTGTTTATTTCAAAGAGACTTTTCCCAGAGTTTACTATTCAGTAACTCACAAAGGTTGTTTGAGGAACAGAAGTTCGGTTCCTGCTTTTTAAAGATGTCATCTGACCTGCACAATCAGCTTAATCCTCCTTGGGTGTCTTCCTTTATAGCTGAAAGGAAAAATAAAAATGTCAGTCAGTCGACCAAGAGGAAAATTCAAAGCAGCCTTTCCAGTGCTAGTCCGTCGAAAACCACCAAAAACTGACTTGGCTTGGGAATCGAACGTGACTCAAAGTCGTCAACCTGCAAATGTTTAATATTTACAGGTGAACTTAATTTTTAATGACTTCCCATGCAATCTGATCCTGTCTTTTTCGACTATGTGAAAACTGAACATTCCCTTGCCTGTTATAAGCTCTTTCCTGGGGAAGAACCATTCCAGATTCTTTTCATTGGCTGGGCATTTTGTTTACTTGGGGGTTTGGGTGGTTTTTTACGTTTTCAGGTTACATGATCTTCCAGCTGTGAGCCCAGCTAATGGCTCCCTTGAACAGGACAGTTTTAAGCGGTCTTGCCAAATCGGTCGTTTTATGTAAGAATTTGTTTTAAAGGTTACGTTTCCCATTCCTAACGATTACGTTTTGTGCATGTAAGGCAGCTACTGGCTATATATCCTATGGATTCATGAAATTGCTATAAAACAACGTCAGTTTTGCCATAAAACTTGCCTCCCAGATGAAATGCTGCTGCTTGGACTGTTTCGTAGCACTGTACTGTACTGAAACTCTTGTTTTAAGTGGGTGTAAGGTAGCAGCCTCTTTCTTTTCAGGATTACAGCACTTCAGTTAGAAAACGTCTCTTCTTCAACACTGCGAACGTGGCTTTTTTTTTTTGAAGTTAAGCACAATTTTTAATTTCGTTCCCAAAAAGCATTGTTATTCTAGATGTGTTCAGGATGCCTGTATAGACCATAAAAATGGGTTTGTATGCTAATGACTTGTTTACCTAATGTGCACTGAACATTTTACATTAATACTGTACCATTTTACATTAATACTGCATGCTTTTCTATGTGAATTGAATAAAACATGTTATAAGCACTGTAATCCTTGGTGTTGCCTCAAATATTGAATTAGCAAAAAGAGAATGGGGAAACTTCTTTTTTTTTTTTTTTTCATAATTTGGAAGATACCTAAGTTTTGTAAAACCTAAATGTGAGCTTATTCACAAAAAAAAATACCAAATCTCCCTTCCTCCTCCTTGTTAGACGTATTGCCATTCTAGTGTCAGCATCGATACAGTTGATGGAAATGGCTTTCAGCCTCTCTGGAGGTGACTCTTCCATAAAGTATTGCATAGGTCAACACAATGTGATGGCCTGCTACAGGCAGGAGACCTAATTAAGCAGCAGAGCAAAATTGGTTTCTTTGCATTATTGTGTTTAAGGTTTTTTTAAGGGCATATTTAATAGTAAGATGCAGGTTTTTCTTTCTATATAGGCCTCTGATGGCATTTCTTACGAACAGGCATCCTTGCTTCATCAATACCTACGATACAAAAAATCCATACGCTGCGTTTCGTCCCTTTGAAAAGAGGGATAACCACTTGGAAAATTTCAATAGACTGGCTCATCTTTTGTAAAGCGAAGTCCTGCAGGCGGTTTGAACATGAACTACATTTCACATGGGTGCATGCATTCGTGCAGTTGGTGTGTTCATTCTTTTCGTTTTTGAGAAACAGCTTTACCAAAAACTCGCCGTTCAAGCCATACGTGCAAGGACCCTTTCCTGGTGACAGGCAGGATGGCATTGTGCTTTCATGTGCTGCTTTCAGTATACCACCTGAATTTTAGTCTTCACAGAAAAATCTAGTCATTCAGTTTTAACATTTTTCAGAACTTAGGGGGCTGGCAAAGCCATCTGGACATGAGCTCCTACTTTATTTGACTAGTTTTACTAATAAGTCACAAAATGCTGCCTCGATTTAACCCTTTGGGAGGAGAGGCAAGGGCTTCTCAAATACATCTCTAATACTTTCTTAAAACATCCTTGTATCACAAAGCAATCGCAAATACACAGTAAATAAATGCTAAGGTCATTGTTTTGTTTCATTGTGGGTTTGGAGGGAGTTGCATTTATGGGCTTCATTTTATATTCCAGTATATTTCTGATACACAAGTAATTTTCAGTGATGGAAACGTGAATATGACTGGTATTACCATACCTGAAATCAAACTAGAATAAAGGAAAATATTGGTGGTCTTTTCATGCTACTTTCTAGTCCTTTGGACAGGAACACTGCTCATGGGCTTGCTCTTCAATATGGGTATTTGGATTTTATGTGTCATGCAACTTGAATGGATAGAAGAGACGAGCCTGAGGTTAAAAAAAATGCTGAAGATCAAAGTCATACACTTCATCGTATTCTCAAGCAGGGCCAGAGAGTGAGGCATTTCAGGCCAAGTACTGGCTTTTCACTTGGAACGGTCGTGGGAGCACATCGGTCGTCACCTACAGCCTCCCAGCTCTGGGCTGGTAACTTCCTACGTCGTGGCAAGGAAGTTACCGTAATTATGCGTAATTACTTGATTTCCAAGCTCTCTCGTACCCTCAGATCTCAACTGCAGATGAGAGTGCGATTGCAGATCACAGATCGTGATTGCATCCAGTGCTATAAGTAGGAGCATTTTACGTTTCACAAGTTGTAAAGCTGAAGCAGATCAGAATTCTTGTATCTTAGTCTTCTTTTGTTTGGCTGGGGTTTGTTTTGTTTGGCTGGGGTTTGTTTTGTTTTGGTGGTTGGTTGTTTTTTTTTTTTTAATTAAGTGCCTTTAAAACAGCTACCACAGTCTAGATTCTGCATTTTGTTTGGTTAATGTAGGTTGTATTCCTTTTGGCTTAAAGTTTGACAGTGGTTGGTGCAATATCAACTTAAAAATTGAAGCTGTATGTAATGAATGGGGTTTCTTCAGTTACAAATTTGTTGGCCGTACATGGGGTTTCAGTTCTCCAGGCTGCATTCTGTCAGTGCTGTGCTTGCTTAATCTCTTGCTGCACTTAACCGTGCTCTCTGAATAAAAGGGCCTAAATGAGACTTCATTGCTGTTAGATTTTTATAGTAGTTACCTAGTTATGTAGAATTGGAATATACAAGGTCTAGAACTTAACTATTACAATTTTGATTAAGACAATAGATGTTTCAAAGTGATGTAGAGTGAGATCTGTGATGTCTAATGATATTTAATAGCTCATAACATTTTTACTTCATCTAATAATACTTACTGTACTAAATACGAGGCAACTCGCAGGTTGTAACACAGGAGAACGCTCTCCAGGAGTATTGGTAACACAGGAGAGTGAGAGCGCTACCAGTCTCAGTTCATTGCCAGTGAAATCTGTTGGTTACACCTAAGAGCAAGAGCGCCAGGGTCAGGTTTTCACTTTGTTGTAGGCAGTTTTACCTACGTGCAGTCCGGCAAGTGAGCTGCTTCTCCATGATTCCCTGAAGGCCTTGTGAGAGCCCGGTTCTGCTCGCTGTTGCTTCCTCTGATGAAAGGCTGCTGGATCAGCTCTACCTACCAGCACCAGATACTGACTTGGGCCGTGTTTGGTTTTGAATGTGCTTTATTGTCTCTTTTTTAAAACACCTTTAAAAAGGCGGCAAGAGGGACAGTGCATAGCTTCTACACACAATACAAGGTGTGCTAACTTGCGTCTCCCTTCCTTCCCCCTTCTTCATTTCACAACCGTTTCCCTCACCAAATAATGCCATTTAAAGGCAGTTTAAACCCACTAAGTCTGGTCCTAATTCTTGCACGGCATCGAAGTCCTGCCTCTGACTTCCATCAGCCACAGGCTTGGAAAACAGTCTTTACACTCTTTACACACCTCTTCTGTACTGGTTATGGTAAATGTTTCGCAAACTCTGAAGATGACACTCCTTCCTTGCTGCTTTTGGCATAGGACCAACCCATACGAACAGACTAAGGCTTCTCCTTTCTCCCCTCCCAGGTTGGGATGAGAGGGAAAGCAGCTCCGAGGTAACTTCATGTGGGGGTTCAGGGCTGTTCCAAGGATTGCCTGCAGAGGTGATAGGCAATCCCCTCTGGCTACTAATCCACGTCTGGCCCTTCCTGCGCCTTGGTCCCTTGCCACAGTCCTGTACCGCTGTGGTGAGCCACCAGCTTGTCAGGCCCGGCCTAAAGGGGCGGCCTGTCTGTCCTGCCTCCGTGGCCCAACACCAAGCTATTGCCTCAGTGTCCCTTAGCTCCCTTCATTAGCTGAAGGACGGAGGGAAAAGCACAGCTGGTGTGGGGGAAAGCCTGCGTGTGCTTCGGCAGTTGCGGATGTCGTGGGAGGCCGCAGGGGAGGATGAGACGGGGCTGAAAAAAAATGAAGTTTAGTATTCCCGATTTTTTTCAGCTTTTCGCAGCAGCAAGCCTCGTCTCCGCTCTAGTGCTCTTACAAGCTGTGTGGGTGCTGTCTGCTGTTTTTCAGAGAAGCCAGCCAGACAATGTCAAAATCCTTCGGGCGGCTACTACTCGCACCTGACGCTCATGAGCCAGGTCATCGGGTGCCGGTTTCAAGCCGGCGGAATGTGCCGGGGAAGCCCGGGGACTGGGCACGGGTGAGAGAGGGGGTCCCTGTCCAAAGGGACACTCTCCCCTTGAAGCACGTCCGAGGGC